TCATATGGATAATGCAAATGAATACTTCCATTAAATATTACTATTAATCACACAAATGAAATTTTACCTGTTATCCAGTAATAAAAATACATGGGAAGAGTTTCTTCGATAATTTTCACTTGTCACCTAAGAGAACAGCCGGAAGAAATAAAAATCTTCTCATGAATAATAGAATTTTAATACAAATACACCAAACTTCTAGGACTATTTAGTTTAAGAGTCAACTGTCACAATATTTCGAATTTCTAAGCATGAAATATTGTTGTTTTTCGAGGAAGTTGATGATTTGGTTTCCAGTAGGCTTTAATTGTCCGTTTTTGTTTTTGAACGTAAATTTTAGCGTTTAAACTAAATACTCCTAGAAGTTTGGTGTGTTTGCATTAAAGTTCTATCATTCATGAGAAGATTTCTATTTCTTCTAGCTGTTCTCTTAGGTGACAAGTGAAAATTATCGAAGAAACTCTTCGCGTGTACTTTTGTTACTGGATAACAGGTAAAATTTCATTTGTGTGATCAATAGTAATACTTAGTAGAAGTATTTATTTGTATTATTCCTATAAAAATAAATCTTTAATCAAGTTCTACCACTGCCCAAAAATCTCAGGGCATTTAATTGAACTGGAGTGGAGTTTTGACAGAAATAACCAATATCAATAGATTCATGTATATTTCTTTGGTGACATACGTTGTAAAGTGAAGATGAAAATGAATTTGGTGATTCTAGTCTTGTACCTAATTGGTTTTAGAGATCCTAAGGTTTATAAAGTACTAGCGGAGGTACCCGATGTATGGAGATGATACGATAGCATATATCTCACGGATGATAATACAATGTTGCCACAGTCCTCAACAGCTATTCATCTGCAATATCATAAGCTACACTCGAATATTTTCTTTTTTAATTTTAATATTTAACACATTAAAGCCGTTATAGACTTTTTTCCTTTTTATATTTTTATTGATGAACTTCTTCCAAGCAAAAAAATAGCAAAATAGAAGTTTTCATTGTAAAGCTGTTTTGTACACGATGTTCTTCGTTTTTCCATCTGGAGCAAAAACATATAAATTCTCTCCAGTTCCTACTCTCGAGCATGCCACATAAAGTTGACCATGAGAAAAGCAAGGAGTTTCTAAATTGACACCAGCAACTTTAAGTGATTGTCCTTGAGCCTTATTAATAGACATTGCGAAGGCAAGCCGTACTGGAAACTGAAGTCGTGTAAATTGGAATGGTATATCAGAGGGGAGCAAAGGTATTTTTGGTATGAATACATCTTCACCTTTTGCACAACCTGTCATGATCGTTGCTTCGATTACATGAGGCATTAGAGTTTTGACACATAGCCTTGTACCATTACATAATCTTGGTGCATCCAGATTTCTTAGGAGCATAATAGATGATCCAATTTTCAGACGCAAGTTATGTGGTGGCATTCCAGAAGGTTCGAGTGAATTGAGAAACTCAGTTGGATACTGAACTACCATGTCGATATCTTTAACTGTATCAATTGATTTGTAAGATATAGCTTCACCAGGAAGTTGTTGCTGTATTTGTAGATTGATAGCATTTACATTGACGTTTTTCGGAGCCAGAATGGCACGTTCACATAACCATTTGTGATCCTTGTACTGAGTTTGAATGTTTGGAAACACTTTATTCTTGAGTTCTTCGACTGATTCAACGATATTGCAAAAGTTGTCTGAAATATTAATAAGTCCACTGACTGGGTCAGCAGGTATTTTGCCATTTCCAATTGCGAGAAGTTGTTCAGCGAAACGGCCGGCAGATACGTCACCTTGTAAGTGCACTCTCATGTTACTACTGAGTTTTAATGATGCAACATGTCTCCAAAGATACGAAGATTTCAAGCAAGCTTTAAGCTCATCAGCCATGGTACCCTTTGGAATAACTGGTAATGTTTGCCTAAAATCGCCAGCAATAAGTACAACTACTCCACCCATATTCTTTCCATTGTTACGAAGATCCTGTAAAGTATGGTTCAAAGCTTCTAATGCATACCTATGAGCCATTGTGCACTCATCCCATGCAATAAGTTCACATTCTTGCAGAACCTTTACTTCGCCAGTTCCTTTGGTAATACTACAGAGATGAGTTTGATTTTCCAAAAACTTAAGAGGTAACTTTAATGTCGAGTGCGCAGTACGACCACCGTGCAGCAGCGTAGCAGCGATACCGGAAGAGGCGACCGCAATCGCAATCTTTGACTGATGCCGGATTTTAGCCAATAACAAATTAATGACAAATGTCTTCCCTGTTCCACCAGGTGCATCAAGGAAGATTATTCCACCAGCTTTCTTCTCGATCTGATCCAAAATCGCATTGTATGCAGCTCTCTGATCCGGCACTAACAGTGGCTCATTTGCTGTTATATAAGCATCCAACTCTTTCACATCATAACTTGTTTCTCTGAGCATTGCACTGTTTAATCGATCACCCGAATTTCGTTGAGGAGTTGGGAGCTCTAATTTCTCAAGTTCTTTGCCACCCATCTCTAAAACTTTATTTTCAATAATAATCAGTGCTTGATTAAACATATCTGGTGTATAATCCAAATTCATTCCAGGATTTCGCCTGCGAGCATTTCTCAGAATGTCTTCAGTCAAGCTTTCTTTGTACGACTCCCATAATTGTTTTGGATTGGATGGTCCACAAACAGCTAGTATAAGAGCAAATAGATTTCTTAATCTTGCTGGCGATTGAGCTGCAGCTGCTTCGGACATGGTGGCATCCCATTGCTGATCATCTTCCAGTAATCCATGTAATTGACATGCTTCACGAAATGTTGCACAGATCTGACCGTTTACAGTTCGAAGAGCTTCAAATGAAGTAGGGCCTCTGACCACATGAAGTAAGAGTCGTAGGAAAAAGCATTCGAAATTATTAGGATGCACGGTGTAAACACGACCCAACGCATCTCCTTCTCTAATGTCTGGATGACCAAGCACAGCAGTTCCTTGAACACGCCGCTTAAACACTTTTTCAGACGCGTTCCATGTGTAGTATTTTGGAACATCACAGTACAACAGCGTTTTGGCAAAGTCGTCTTTCTGGCAGAGTAAGAAAAATGCTGTTAGTGTTGTTCTTGGTGGTTCATTAACTTTCTCATGAACATTATCTTCGGTGAAATAAATGCGTTGACCATTTTCCAAATGAACAGCCAAATGAACAACGGTTGGATATCGTTCGTGAATTGGAAAATCCAAGATTCGCCAGACTGCCTCATTGTTACTGATGTATCTACCTAACTGGTAGTTACTAATTTCATCAACTGGTGCTCCATCTCTTCCCAAACCGAACACTGCCTGATCACTGCCCTTGTTGACATATTTGCATATGTATTTGATTGATTTTACCGAGTTGCAATATTCCACATTAATGTGGGCTTGAAAGACCCGAGAGAGTAGTGGACAATATGGCACAATCCACTTGTTGTCAATTTCGATTTCTTGAATGGAGTTATTAATTCTCATTTTGATTTTGGCTTTGATACCACCATCTTCTGAACTTCTTCTTCTATACGATGGATATCCATCATCACCAGTTTCTGTATCATGCAAAAGTTGTTTTGGATATCTTTTTGTACACTTTTTGTTTTCCATACACGGAGAGTTTGGATTAATACTTCCACATGGACCGTGAATCATAGTCTTGATAATTATTTCAAATAGTCGAGGATCTCGTTCAGGATCAGGTAATTCTGCGCTGATTACGCTATCTATTTGATCTGCTTTAATTTTGTTCTTCAGCCATATCAAAATATGGGCATGTGGTAGTCCTCTCTTTTGCCATTCAATAGAATACATCCAGCATCTTGGTGGCCCAAATACATGGCTTTTGGTAATAATGTTGACCAATTTAATGAGCTTTTGTCTGAACACTCTTGCTAATAGGTCATGACGATCAGAGGGAGCTTGACCTTCCATTAATTCTGCTTGAATTTCTTGCCACTTAGGATTGCAGGTGAATGTTATAAAGAAGTCGGGTCTTCCGTGGTTTCTTACATAAGTCATGGCGTCTTGTGTATATTCATGCATGTGCCGGGGACTTCCAGTGAAAGTTGCTGGTAGAATCACTAATTGACCAAGATTGTCAGCTCGTCCATCATTGGCTATAGCATCTTTCAGGTGAATGTATTCATCCACTCTAAGCTTTTTTTGATTATAACGTAGAAAAGATAATCTTTCACTTTCGATCTTAGCGTACATGTCAACCACATACTGATGGAAAAGTTGTCGGCACTGTAAGATATGATTGACAGCACCAGTTCGTACCATAATTCTGTAAGCATAAAAACTCATAGCCGATACTTTTTTGCCAGTGACAACCATTCCAGTTGTTGAATCAGTCTGTTCGATAAGAAAATGGTAGCCATCCTCACCTTTCCAAAAGATGAGAGGATATTGCAAGGTATCATACGACCTGTGTGTCTCAGATACTCTCTGTAACTGGCCATTTTTCTGCTCCAAGACAATATGTCGTTTCTCGAAGTCGTTGCTAGCGATGACAACCGCCACCTCATTTGTCACTGGCTCATTGAAACGACGTGCATGCTCTCCAACAGGTTTCATGTCTGCTCGAATAAGCACCTTGTATTGATCTGTTGGCATTCTTTGAAGGGCAGTCTTGAAAAGATCAACATAAATGTGGTGCTCATGAACCATTTGCTGCAGTTTCTCGACAATGTATTGACGTACGCCAGGCATGTTTTTGCAACGTTGTTGTACTTCTTTTCGATCGTCGCCCATGAAGTAGATTTGAAGAAATTTATGTTCTTCATTCGAAGGCGGCAGCAGAGATCCTACGCGATGATATACTTGACCCTGAACTCTGAAAGTAGGCATGAAGCCTGGGTCAGCCACTTTCTCTGACGTGCCAAAAGATGTCATTTGAAAGCAAGAATTGTATTTTCTAATGTTGTCCAAGAAATGCTTCGATTCAGGCGTTGTTCCTGACATTAATGATTTCAGTGGTTCAGGAGGAGGCTGAAGTTCAGGTAACTTTACTTTACCACCAGAACAGCACATACCTCGTGTTTCTGCATGCCATTTGAGGGCATTACAGTATGGACAAACATCGCTCATTTGTCCAATATTAAGTTGAGGATGGCTGTCATAGTTATTGGCTGGATCATACCGAAACGCTTCCCCTTCCATAAATGTCCATTGCGCTGCCCTTGAGGCTGCTTGTCGTCTACGCTGATCTTCACTTCGAGTCCGTCTCTGTATGGGATTCTCAGCTGCTCGTGAAGCTGCATGTCTGGCTCGATCATCTTCCCGTCGACTTTGTCTCCGTTCTGGAGATTCAGCTGCTCTTGAAGCTGCTTGTCTTGCACGTTGACCATCAAGTCGAGTGCGTGCGTCTTCAGAATCTTCAGCTGCTCTTGTTGCTGCCATTCTTCTTGCAGCTGATGTACTTCTTCCCAAAGAGGCTCTTTTTTTTACTGGCATCACGTAATATTTTTATCTAAATAAGAAATATAGAAAATAGAAAATGCTCCGAAGAGAATGAATTTGCAATCTTACCTTTTGAATTTACTGTTGATATCACGATCGAAAAATATTTGGTAATCTGTAAGCTTATAATTTTTATATGGAATATTGGACACTTACTCGTTTTTGAACAATTATGTTTAGTGATAGAATAGAATATTGATTTTATTAAAAGCGTTGAAGAATAAGAAACACTATAGTGAATTTAGTTTTATTAATGAAAAACAAAAGAAAAAGATACCTATTTATATAGATGCAAATCAATAGCATATTTCTATATCATCATCATCATTTAAGATGACGTAAACATTCCAATGACGATATAAAATATGATATATGAGGAGGAATGTTATACATGGCATCATACACAACAAATGACAAAGAAATGAAGTCATATGTATTCAAGAATGTAATACAGCTGATTATTGAGTAAAATTGTATAAATAGTATATATAGATACCGTTAATACGTCATATTTCTGAGTCATGAAAAAGAACAAAGACGTTATCTTTGAACGTCAGAAAAAAATGCA